GCTGCCTTCCCTTTAGCTTACACTGCTAAATTAGGGACGGCTAACGCAAATAGCCCTCGTGTAGCTTTGCGCGAAATTTAAAACAAACAAACAAACATGAAAATTATAAATAAATGGGATACAGTGTTTTAATAAAATCGCTCTTGAAACTGTGATGTCACTTCCTGTGTGTACGTTTAAAATAGATCAGTTCGGCAGATGTATGTTATACACCTTTCACTGTTTGATTATCCTCAATACAGCTTAAGTTCAATCAAATATAAAACAGAAACTTAAACACTGTGCGAAATTACCAGACAAATTTTGGAGTTTAAAACAAGCTAAGATTGATAGTTAATGCCATAATAGCAGTGTACTGTATCTTATTTTCTTCAAGTCAAAGACAAAGCGGGAAACCTTAATCTTTTATTGCTCTTATGTTCAAAGATGAGGCAAGAAATAATAATATTATTACATAATATTTGTAAATTATACTAGATTTCTAAGAACTGGAAAACGCACTCACATCTTCTGTTGAGAGTTCAAAATATCACTTACTTTTTTTATGAAATCCATGAGGGGCTTAGCTCCCAGTTCTTCCAATGTGCCATTTTTATCGAGACAGGAGTAATAATATGTACGAGCTTTTCTTTCTGCCTCACTTTCGAGTTGTATAGTCTCATCCTCTGAAATGAGAAGCTTAATACTTTATTGTTATTATTTGCTTGTCCAACAAGATGAGAAGCACAAATAATCTTACTATAATAAATGAAATGCTGTGATAATAATTAAATAAAGACAAATAATAGTAATATTATTGATGGTGTTTTGAAAAGTTAATGCCGAATTTTTAAAGATCTACATCCCTGAAGATGCAGATAAGTCCTTTGTGCTTCAATCTTGTTGAACTCTCACAGAGATATATTTTAAGGCAGCTTGTAGATCCTTGGTTAACTTTAAAGAGTAGAACGTTTTTATGGCAATTAAGGCAATAGAAATGAATAAATATTAACGACCACGTAAGTTTTAATTATTTGTTTCTTTACAATCAGATATTTTAAATATATGACCTTCTCTGTGGCTTATATCTAGGAATACATAATGTTGATAATTTCATGTTAGTATTGCATGCACGCAGGGCTGACGAGAGGGGAAGGGGCAAGGGAGCATCTGCCCCGGGGCATGGGCTGGCTCTCGACACCCCTGCATGCACATATCTTATGAGTCTGTGCTACTTATGATCTTATTTTTAATTTTATCATCGTAGTTACCACCCTACCAGAATTTAAAATTGTGAAATTTGGGAAGATTTAACTGACTCTAAAATTCGTATACACATGCACGGATCTGGATATCAGAGTGCGCAATTTTGATACTTCCTAAATAAATCTGTACATAATTTCATTCAAGTACTATATTTCAAAAATTATCATACAGGTGGGAAGACCGATCAAATACTAGTGTTTTCAAGTAAAGAAACAACGATATTTTTAGAATATGGATTCTTAGGGTCCAAACGCCTCTAACCCTAGTAATTCAAGATATCAGTCATTCACTTAAAACTTCTTTTAGGCAATTAATAGAAATCAGAGGAGAAACAAAAAAGGGATTACAATTATGAAAAATTACGTTATCGAATCGATAACAAGTTCTCAAACCAGGAAATGACGCATACTTTTACAGTCGGTATACAGTGTGTGTTTATTCGTTTTTTGAATTTCGCGCAAAGCTACACGAGGCCTATCTGCGCTAGCCGTTCCTAATTTAGCACTGCTATAGAGGGAAAGCAGCTGGTCAACACCATCCACCTCCAACTCTTGGGCTATTCTTTTACCAACGGATTGACCATCACATTATAACGCCCCCACGGCTGAAAGGGCGAGCATGTTTGGTGTGATGGGGATTCGAACCCGCGACCCTCAGATTGCGAATCGAGCGCCCTAACCACCTGGCCATTGCCGGGCCAAGTATATTGTGATAGTTAGTTTTTTAATTTTATACTTCCATTACAAAAGCAATTGCACTTTGATTTCTCTTCAATAAATGGGAGAAATGTTATTTTTACTGAAAATATAATAGCTTTTCATATTGTTGTTATCTACCAAGCCTATTGGCGAAAAGTTAGCAGTATAACAATTCCTTCTATGACTTTTTAAGTTTGAGAGTTCTCAAATTGATGCTATCTATACTAAGCCTATATTCTGGCGAGAATAGGGTTACCAGATTTCCAATTTGAAAAACTGGGACTTTTTTTCTCTGTAAACTGTAACTGAACAGCCCTCAAACATTTTAAATTACAGTAACACACTTTTTTACCATTTGTTAAATAATCTCAAGCTTATTTCATCGTATTTTAAAACTGCAGATAAAATCTGATAACAGCTTATCTATTTGAAATTAAAAACGCACTTTACCGAAAATTACACTGTTGTTTCTAAGTTTTTATTTTCGCGGCTAGGTGGGTCTTCAAATCACAATTCCTGCGGCCGTCCAGTGACAGATAAGGTTATGCAAACGTAGCGAAATGGAGGTAACACTATACCATGTGATCTATCTTTACCAAGTGTTGCGTCAGCGAGTCACATGACCACGTGACGCAACGTTTCTAGAATTATCATGTACTTTCGGG